ACATAATGAAAAGGGTTAATCTAACTAGAAGACATACCCTTTATAAATATATGTGCACCAAATATAGAGACCCAAGATATATAAAGCAAATGTTATTGACCTAAAGGGAGAAATTGACAGGAATATAATAGTAGGGGACTTTAACACTCCACTTACATCAGTGGATGCATGATCCAAACAGAAAGTCCATGAGCAAATAGTGGCTTTGAACAGTACATTAGACCAGTTAGACTTAATAGATATGTGCAGAATATTCCACCCAAAAAGAACAGAATACACATTCTTCTCAAGTGTGCATGGAACATTCTCCATGATAGACAATGTTGGGCCACAAAACTAGTCTCAATAAATTCAAGAAGATGAAATATCAAGCATCTTCTCCCCCTACAATGGTATAAAACCAGAAATCAAGTACAAGAAGAAAATTGGGAAACCCTCCCAAATATGGAGATCAAACAACATGCTACTGAACAATCAGTGGGTCATTGAAGAAATCAAAGAAGGAATTAAAAAGTACCTGGGGATGGAAATGAAAATAGGAACGCCACAAACCAAAATTTTTGAAATCAGCAAAGTGATTCTAAAAGGGAAATTCATAGCATTACAGGCCTCCCTCAAGTAAAAATAATCTAATTTGACACAAAAAGGAAGCCCAAAGTTAGTAGATGGAAAGAAATAATAAAGACCAGAGCAGAAATAAAGGAAAGAGACAAAACAATAGAAAAGGTCAATGAAACTAAGAGCTATTTCTGTGAAGAGATAAAGCATCTGACAAACCTTTAGCTAGACTCATCAAGAAAAAGAGGATTCAAGTAAAATCAGAAATGAAAGAGAAGTTACAACTGACACCACAGAAATACAAAGAATCATGAGACTATGAACAATTATACACCAACAAATGGGACAATCTAAAGGAAATGGATAAATTCCTAGAAACATAAAATTTTCCAAGACCAAGTCATAAAGAAAAAAAAAATCTAAGTAGACTAATTACTAGCAAGGATATTGAATAATAATTAGAATTTCCCAACAAAAGTCTAAGGGGCTTCACAAATGAATTTTATCAAGCATTTAAAGATTTAATGCATACTGTTTAAAAACTGTTAGAGAAAGTTAAAGGGGAGGGAGCACTTTATTATTTTTGAAACATTATCCTGATACCAAAACCAGACAAGAATACCACATATACACAGAAAGTTACAGGCCAATATCATTGATGACACTGATGAAAAAATTCTCAACAAAATACTAACAAACTGAATTCAATAATACATTAAATGGATCATAAGCCATGATCAAGTGGGTTTTAGTCCAGAGATCCAAGGGTGGTGGTTTAGTGCCCATAGATTAATCAACATGGCATAGCACCTTAACAGAATAAAGGATAAAAACCATACGATCTTAACAGATGCAGAAAAATCATTTGACAAGATTCAACATGCATTTATATGATCCAAACTCAGCAAGGTAAGTAAAGATAAAAGACATATATGACAGACCCACAGCTAATATACCCAATGGTAAAAACCTGACAGTTTTTCCTCTAAGATCAGAAACAAGAAGAGGATTACACACTCTTGCCACTGTTAATTCAACACAGTATTAGATGTCTTAGCCATAGCAATTAAGCAAGAAAAAGAAATAGAAGGCATTCAAGGACGGAAGAACAAAAATTGTCACTCCTTGCAGTTGGTACCATATTATATATAGACAATCCAAAAGATTACACCAAAACTGTTAGAACTGATAAATTGATTCAGTAAAGTAGGAGGATACAAAATCAACATAACATAAATCTATGGCATTTCTACACATGAATAATGAATTATCAGAAAGAGGAAATAAGAAAACAATCTCATTTAAAAGAATAAAATGCCTAGGAATAAATTTAACCAAGAAAGTGAAAGATCCATACACTGAAAACTATGACATTGATGAAAGAAATTGAAGAAGTCACAAATAAATGGAAGGATAGTCCATGCTCATGAATTAGAAGAATTAATTTTGTTAAAATGCCCATACTACCCAAAACAATCTACAGATTCAGTGCAGTGCCTTTCAAAATTCCAAGGGCAGTTTTCATGGAACTAGAGCAAATAATTCTAAAATTTGTACGGAACCACAGAAGATCCCATATAGCCAAGGTAATCTTGAAAAAAAAAAAAGAACAAGGTTTGAGGCATCATGCTCCTTGGTTTGAAATTATACTACAAAGCTATAGCAATCAAAACAGTTTGGTATGGGTGTAAGAACAGGCACACTGATAAATGGAACGGATTGAGAGCCCAAAATTAAACCCACACATATATGGACAATTAATTTACAGCAAAAGAGCCAATGACATACCATGGAGAAAAAAGAGTCTTTTCAATAAATGTTTTGGGAAAAATTGGACAGCCACATGCAAAAGAATAAAACTTGACCACTGTCTTGCAGTATATACAAACATTAACTTGTAATGCATTAAAGACTTGAATTTAAGACCAGAAACTGTAAAAGTCCTAGAAGAAGAAAATATAGGTGGTAAGCTCCTTGACATGTGTCTAGCAATATTTTTGTAGGTGTGACTCTAAAGGCAAGGGAAACAAAAATAAACAAAGTGGTCTACATCAAACTTCTGCACAGCAAAAGAAATCATTGAAATGAAAAGATTACTGAATAGGAGATTTTTGCAAATCATGTATCCGATAAGGGATTAATGTCCAAAATATATAAAGAACTCCTACAATTTAAAAACACCCCACAAAATAACTCAATTAAAAATGAGCAGAGTATCTGAATAGACATTTTTTTCCAAAGAAGACATCCAGATGGCCAGTAGGCACATGAAAATATATTCAGCACCGCTATTTATTAGGGAAATGCAACTCAAAACTGATTTCACACATCACCTAACATCAGTTAGAATAGGTATTACCAAAAAGACAAGATAGGATATGTCTTGGTGAGGACATGGAGAAAAGGGGATCCTTGTACATTGTTTATGGGAATATAAATTGGTACAGCCACTACAGAAAACATTATGGAAACTTCCCCATACTGTTAAAAATTTAAGACCGGAACTACCATATGATCCATCTTTTCCACTTCTGGCTATTTAATCTGAAGAATATAAAAATACTGATTTGAAAAGATACATGCACCCCTGTGTTTATTGTAGCACTATATACTATAGTCAAGACCTGGAAAGGACGTGGATGTCCACTGGTAGAAGAATAGGTGAAGAAGATGTGGTGTATATATGTATACAATGGAATATTACTCTGTCATTAAAAAATAATGGAATCTTGCCATTTGTGACAACATGAATAGATGTTGAAGGTAGTATACTAAGTGAAAGAAGTTAGAGGATGACAAATACCATATAATCTTGTTCATATGTGAAACCTAGAATAAAGCAAATGAACAAATAAAACTAACTCCTAGATAATAAACAACTGATTGGTGGCTACCAGAAAGTTGGTAGGAGACAAAATAGTTGAAACAGGGTCATTATATGGTGATAGATGCATGGTAACTAGACTTCTAGTGGTAATCACCTTATGGTGCATACAGGTGTCAAATTGTAATGGTGTATACCCGAAAGTCATATAATGTCACATACCAATTTTACCTCAGGTACAAAAGGAAAATGGTGGGAAAAAGAACAATCTAAAAAATGAGTAATTAATCTTAAATTAGGCCACCAGACCCTTCTGCCGTGAAGCATACTTTGATGGGAAGGTTTGAGATATTGTTAAGGAAAATGAAAGTTTATTTAATAATACTAGTTTTATTAAAAAATATTACATTTCTAGTCATCTTGGCTATAAGTTAACTTTAAAGGCAGAAATTACCGTTAATTGACGGGTCTTTATGAGTTTGGTGTTAATGATTGTGGAAAGATGCTCATTTTAGTCTTTGGATGAATGTATAGTTGGGGATGAAAATGTCACAAAATCATCTGATCATTTAATGATTTGATTTTTTTTACCATTATTAGATATGTATCTGATAGCTGTCATGTGAAATATACATATTACAAATGTATTCCTAGTTTTGTTTACATATCTATTTTTTTAATGATATACATGTGTTTATTGATATGTGAGAAGAATTCCACTTTCTTTTTGAGGGTGACTTCTGCCACCACCTAATGTGCATCTTTTTAGCTGTGTGGTGCTATTGTAGAGGCTTTCCTGGAACACCATTGCCAGTTTCTTAGAAGTAAAGTCATAAAAAGGTGTTCAAAGTAACCATTTGTGCCTGGTGTTCTTACAAAGCCGCATTCCATTAATTTGCTTCTGAACATGCATAAATGAAGAATTTCTGGACTCTTTTTGAAATTGTTTCCTAATGTCATGCCAAAATGTTAGTTCTCTTTGTTCTAAGTACAGGCCTAGTACATAAAGACTTGGAGTAACAAATCTTTCTTCCATTAGTTTATCTTAGCATTAGGTAAGGACTGTGACTAAGTCAGAATTGAAGTCTTTTTTTTCCTCTTTCTTTGTCATCATGGCTGAGTTCCTTTACCATAATGGAGTAATAAAGGAAGACTAAATTAAAAGCCAGATGAGCTGAGTTTTAGTTTTCTAATTTCTGTAAGATTTTCGTATTCACTTCATCTCAGTACAGCCTACCTTCTTCCTGGGGTATTATAAAGACAAAGTGAGATGAGAAAATGCTGTTGAGGGACAAAACAAAATACTGTTCAAATACAAGAGATTCTCATGGAAAGAAGGTATTTATACTATTCATAGAGTTGAAGAGGTTAAAGATTTGAAGAATTCTTAAATTGTGCTGAAAATCATAGATGATGCGTCTGATAGATTCAGATAGAAAATCTGTACCAAGAGAGGAGTGTTTGTAAGACAAGGGGTATAATGTCTATTCCTCCTGCCTCGTACCTTTCATTTTTTGTATTCTCACTTCTTCCAGATAAATATCCTTATTTCTGTTCCCTTTCCTACCACCCAACGCACATCTTTACTCACAAGTACTTTTTTTGTTTTCCTTAAAAGGGAGCTACCATTAAAAAAGATGAGCAGACTGGAGCCATCGTTGTGGCTAGAATCATGAGAGGAGGAGCTGCAGATAGAAGTGGTAAGGATTTAAAAAACAAAACATGAAGTGGTAAGGGTTTCAACACTAGGTGCGGGGATGGGTCATGTTGTATTTCATGGGCAACATTTCCAACATGTAAGTAAGAGGAAAACAATCATTTGATGTAATACCTCAGAATAGTAAGATACTCTTCTCTGTATTGAATTGTAGGAACCTATTGAAATAAATAATTCTCACTCTACAATCTAAGTTTACATGGGCTTCCAAAGTTGTATTAAGATCTCTTTCAAGTGGTTCTGCTTTGAAAAATACTACCGCAAGTGTGCAGCCTTTGAAACAAAATAAAAATTCTTTTATTAGGTGAAAATCATGTACATTTCTAGACAAAGACCAGGATGCTGATGTCATTTCTTTGCCGGCATTATAACATGGTAGTCCCTGATTCATTGCTGTTGAGAGGCACAGAATCTGAAACCCGAGAAGCATAAAGGTCTCCTCAAATGTGTTAAGGGAACCAAACAGTGCTTTGAGTCTGGACGCTGTTGCAAAGAACAGTTCTTTTGTAGGTAACTCTGCTAATTTACTACCAAATTTGTTACTTCTCAGGTCTTATTCATGTTGGTGATGAACTTAGGGAAGTGAATGGGATTCCAGTCGAGGATAAAAGACCTGAGGAAATAATTCAGATTTTGGTAAGCTGAAAACATTTTAAAATTGTAGTAAAAAATGACATTGAATCAGTACGTTTCAGACTTGGTTATACATATAGGACTTGGATTTAGCAATCCAGAGTTGAAATCCCAGTTTCATTTCTTAGTTCCTGTATGTCCTCAGAAAATACCTTAATCTTTGCGTTGCCTTAGTGTTTTCATTTCTAAATGAAAACAAGAAGAGGTAAATCTCTCACTGGAGTATTTTGAGGATTAAGTGGGCTAATGTATATGAAGACTTTATTACAGGGCTTGTCCCAAATAGGTACATAATAGATGGCATCTACCCTGTCGTTCGTGATGCATTTTTCTTTTCCCTTCTCTCATCGATATGGCCGGACTGTAGGCTGTGCTTTCTAAGGTATCTAAAACAGTGAAACTAATTTAGATGTCTTGTGAAATCTAAAACAGAAATTATTAAAATTATTTTAGGTCTTGACAGTATTAATTCTCCAGTTCATTTGTAAGGAGAAAAATGAGGAAGGCTGTCTCTGTTAATGTGTGAAAACATAACATACAGAAATAGAGTTTAGTATCTTAAACAGACCCTGTATATAAAAAAATCTAGTAATGATTAAGGTGGTAGCATTTTAAATCCGTGGGAAAACAGTGAAGTCATTTCATAAATGGTATTGGATAAATTGACGATTCAAATAGAAAAAATAAAGTCAGTCCCTATTTTACACTACACCCAAAACAGATTCCAAAGAATTAAATATTTTTTAAAAATCCAAAAAATGAAGGAGGACTTTTTAAATTTGATGTGAAATACAAATAGAAAAATAACTGATGTGATTGCAAGAACTGAAAAATTTGTGTATAGAAAAAGATGCCATATATGACTTGAAAGACATGTGACGCTTAGAAAAAATATTGTCAATATGTGATAGGTGTTTTAACATGGAGAGAGTTCATAAAAATTAATAAGAGAAAAAATATTTACAGAAAAATTTACAAAAAAACCCATCTGAAAAATATTGTTTTGGAAGGATTTAAAAGCTTAATAATAGCTACAGTCAGCAGATTCTAGGCACATAGTTCTACTTATATGCTTCCAGTACTGGGATGAATTTAGTAGATCCTTTTGATATGGCTATCTGAAACCATTAAAATTTTAAATTTGCCTACCCTTTAATCAAGAAATTCAATTGTTGGGAATTGACCTGTAGGAAATAATTTGGCAGATGTATTGTATAGGTAAGATTGTAAAAAATATTTAGGAATAGGAAGAAGGTTGCATTGATGGACTAATCCATTGTACATCCAAGTGATGGCAATCATAATGGTTGATAGACCTGTAGGACTTAGTAATACTAGTAATTCTTATAGTGGTTGAACCCTTAATGACACTGTTCTAAGGGCTTTGCACACATTAACACAGATGCACACACATACAAAGTAGTAGAATTGGAAGAGGTCATAAAGAAGACTTGCTTTCTCTCTACCTGTACAATTCAATATTATATGAATTCTTAATAAGATTGGTGAATTATTTTATGATGGGTAATAATAGTGATATTACCAGTTTGAAATCGGTCCTGCTGTAAAATTCTGATGGAATTTAGATAGAATCTAGATATCTAGATAGATAGATCGATACTATTAAAACCCTGTTTTACTTTAGTCTCTGTGCTCTCCTGGAGCTGCCTCCTTATATTTGCAAGAGCTGATTCTGTGCAGCTTTTCCCGACTGGGCTTTCAGGGACTTCACACTGGTAAATGGAAGTTGACTATGGTCCATGGACATTGGCAAACAATGCAAATCAGGGCCTCCTCCTCCTTTCCCCCAGACCAGAGCCCTGGTTTACGAGAGTGAGCCTCAGAGATAGCTCTGCATTCTCCCTTCTCTCTCCTTCTTTCCTTCTTCCTTTATCTGCCTAATCTCGTCTTTCTCTTTTCTTTCCTTCCTCATTCCTCTCACATATGTGCCAGATACTTAGTGCTTTCATGGGCCTTAGAATTTAGCCGGAGGATGCCTGGGTGGCTCAGTGGTTGAGCTTCTGCCTTTGGCTCAGGGCATGATCCCAAAGTCCTGGGATCGAGTCCCTCATTGGGCTCCTTGCATGGAGCCTGCTTCTCCCTCTGCCTGTGTCTCTGCCTCTCTCTCTCTCTCCGTGTCTCTCATGAACAAATAAAATCTTAAAAAAAATAATTTAGCCAGGATAACAGATATTAAGAAATAATTGTATAAATGATAACTTAGCACAGTTATGAGACATACTAGAAAGAAACAGAAAGACGCGAGAGTATATATATATATATATTTTAATATTTATTTATTCATAGAGACAGACAGAGAGGCAGAGACACAGGCAGAGGGAGAAGCAGGCACTATGCAGAGAGCCTGACATGGGACTCGATCCAGGGTCTCCAGGATCACGCCCCGGGCTGCAGGCGGCGCTAAACCGCTGCACCACTGGGGCTGCCCGACATGAGAGTATGTTAAGGGGAGATCTGCTCTAGTCTGAGAGGGTCAGAAAAACACTGCATGTATTGTTTTTGCTTTAATTAAATTAATAGGTATTTAATCTTTCCATCTTTTATTACATTTTGTATTTTACTAACTTGAATATAATAGCAGTGAATGTTCTTCATTATTTTTTTCTGATGAACATTGCAGCTAATGTATATACATATTCTGTATAAGTTAATCGTACATTTATAACTGAGTTACTGACAATACAACTATCTTGTCCCTAAAAATGTGATGTGCCGATACTTAAATGTATGTGAACCTTGCATATCATCTGTCCTCACCATGTAATATTGTCTGTGTAAGGCACTTTGCAGTTTCTGTGTTTCTATTTTGAAGTAGCTCAACATGGATGGTAATATATTCGTCGGCCTTTTGAAACTGCACAGGAGGTAAAAGTGGATTTAGTGTTTAGTGTTTTTTAACTTACCTGACAAACTGGAGTGCTTTCTCATACTGCAGGAATTTCTACAAAAATAGTTTTCTCAGTTTGGCTTATCTAAGAGTAGAAACCCCAGGCTTATAAATTTTTCAGTCAGTCCATTTTCTACCTGTTTTGCCTTCTTTTTTCTTGCCTGTAGAAGTTCTCTGATAAGTCTTTCTTCTGTTTTCAGGCTCAGTCTCAGGGGGCAATTACATTTAAGATTATACCCAGCATCAAAGAGGAGACACCATCCAAAGAAGGCAAGGTAATCATTACTTAAAAATATTTTTTTGTTTGTTTTGGTGGTGGTGGTGGGGGGTGCTAATATTTCCCTGTCTAACACGTACCCACTTTGTCACAAGTTCATTTTCGTATTCTCTTTTTTAAAAAAAAAAAATGATCCTTAGAGAAGAATGTTGGCCCTTCCACTTTATTTTTTATATTTACTCCTTTTAAATGAAACTCTCTTCCAGATGTTTATCAAAGCCCTCTTTGACTATGACCCTAATGAGGATAAAGCAATTCCATGTAAGGAAGCTGGGCTTTCTTTCAAAAAGGGAGATATTCTTCAGATTATGAGCCAAGATGATGCAACATGGTGGCAAGCAAAGCATGCAGGTGATGCCAATCCCAGGGCAGGTTTGATTCCCTCAAAGCATTTCCAGGAAAGGTGAGCTACTGGCATGCAGTAACGGTCTCTCTTCAAATGACCTTTTGTTCTCTGCAAAATATCACTTGAGGATAGTTGTGATAAAATAAGCACTAAAGCCTTGCTCTAGAATCCTTTATCCCCTCAGGTTTGGATTTCTGTTTTGTCTAACTAAGTATGAATAATGACCAAAAATAATATGACAGGACCAGGTCATATTTAGTTTTTGTTATGAAGCAAATGGAAAAATAGCACATTAATATCTGAAACTGTATTGATGTGAAAGGTGGGGGAAAAAAGAAGAGTGATTTTGGAATAGGGTGATTTATAAAAATTTGAAAGTAGATGATTTACTTTTTAATTTGAATAGATTGCATTGTGTTCATTTTTTCCCCTGGCTTCCCGTTTTTTTTTTTTCCCTTGGGACTTTTAATATTTTGGTGTTATATTAATCTTGGATCTGTACTGAAAATTGATAGGCATTGACCTTCTTTTTCCCCCAGGAGATTGGCTCTGAGACGACCAGAAATACTAGTTCAGCCCTTCAAAGTTTCCAGCAGGAAATCATGTAAGTTTGTTAATAAAAATGCAGAGTAACCAAATCTTGCTGTTTATTTTTGACTACTAAAGCAGGTGTTTGTGGTAGAACGAGAGCTTGTATTGCCTTGTGATAGCTTTGGGATCATCATTTCATGGCAACCAAGCAAATAAGAAACTCACAGTAGAATATTAAAGTGAATCTTTTGAAGAAAGGGGTGTTTGCGGTTGTTTATAATAAACCCATGACTCACACTTTAAGAAACTAACTAGCAACACTACTCTTCTTGACTTCTGGTGTTTTATAAATGTAACCTCAAATGCAACTCCTTTATTTCTCCAAAGCTAGAAGGTTTGGGTGAGACATAAAATCAGGGGGAGGTAATCTACCACTTTCTTGGGCATTGACAAAGGCCATTGTGCCTAAGAACAGTTATTTTTGTTCTTTGCTTATCCAGAAATCATAGTCACTCTAACCTTTAATCTGCCTGTTTGGAGTTGTTACAAGATGAGATTAAATCAAAATAAGAGCAGAAAAAGGATGGAGGTGTAGGATTACTGAAAAAGATAGTGTGGATTTGGGTGCATTTTTCCCCCTCCCTTCATACTCCTCTCAGCTCTTGTTTACTCCCCACTCCTCACCTCCATCAAGTCCCCATCCCATAAATTTCCTACTTCATCTCCTCAAAATGTTTCATGGTTCTAGGTATTTTAAGAGTAAAAAAAAAGCCTTTTGTTTTCAACATAGAGCTCATACATTAAAAGGCGAAATGCACAAATAAACGGTCCTGGAATTTTGCACCAACATCTGGTTTTAGTATTGTTGCATTTTTCACATCTCCTGTTATTTCTGTCAGTTTGTAGACGCGTATAGCCTAGGAATTACATTATAAGAGAGCCAAACTACAGTCAAGTATAAATCTCACAAGCAAGCAAATACTTCAAGGGGAGCACTGATTCAAAAGCCTGCTTGTTCTTGCTTCGTTAAGTCTGGGCAGAATAAAAACACACTTGTCACAGAATGCCACATGGATTGTGACATCAGAAAGCATACAGTTTAACCAGAAGGGTGCATCGTTTTTAAGTGTGATGAATTTTCACTGGCAGGCGCTCCAGGCATCCAGCTGACTTGCTCTTGGAGGATTTCTAAATTGGGGGCCTGCGCCCTTCTAATACATTTGATGCGTGTGGATACAATGTGTGTAACTTGAAAAGGACATCAGTGTGATTCTACTCGCATCTTAATCCATCTCCCAATTTGAGTCTTAGGCAACTTAGAAATATCTAGTTTGATATGATTGTGAATTTTCATTTAAGAGTTTTTATAAATGTGTTTCTTTAAAGAACTACATGAAATGGGTATATTATCTTTTTAATAGCTCTCCCCAAACTGATTTCAGTATAAATGTGTGTGAATGCCAGAGGTATTGTGTGTGTGTGTGTGTGTGTGTGCCCGTGCATGTGTATAGAGCTGTTAATTAATAATGGATAATTTTTGTCTATTATTCAGAGTTTTCCATATTATAGTCTTTAATATTTGCATCTGCGAAATATTTATTCAAAAATTAGTGAAATGTTATTATCTGGATTTTTTAAGAGTTTGTTTTTTCTGCCTTTTGAAGATCATATAAGAATGTTTACTGATTCCCATTCACACTTCCTTTTTTCTTTTCTATTTTTTTAAGTTGACTTGATTCAAATAAATAATAATATAATAATAATAATATAAACAAATATGGCCATATTATCCAAATCACTAGTGTATAGCAAATAGGACCTTATTTAGAGAGATAGTCTATGTCCATGAAGATTAAATAGAAATGTTACTTTTATTGTCAAAGAATTAAAATTCTATTTGAAGTTTACTTAATGTTGTCTCCTAAACCCCTGAACTCAAAAGTTAAGCAAGAATTATTACGCTGGTTCTGAACATTTTAAAAGTAATTTAAAAGCACTTTGTTTTATAACCTGTGTATCTGATAGTGACTCTTTACATAACTATACTTGTAAAGACCATCTGACCCAAGACTTCCTGGACTTCAACATTTGGTACTTAGATTTTTAGGATAGGGCATCCATTGTGCTCTTTGAATTATAGAATAATGCTATGAAGAAAAACAGAAAGCTAACAGAAAATCTTTTAGTAATATGACTTTGAATAATAATTCATAGACTAGGTATTAAGGAACATTTCTGTAATGTAAAAATTATAGAAGGAGAATAATTCTGTCATGTTGGTATTTCTGAATTTACTAAAAAGTAGTCATGTTGATAATTTTCTGCACTAAATTTTGCAAGTGCATTTAAAACCTAGGACATAGTGTTAAATGGTGAATTTAGGATAATGACTTCAGTCAGGTAATAATATGTATTGAATTAGCCAGCTAACTTCTTTCACAAAAAAAAAATATATTACTATGGTTTTACTCTTTATTTGGCTCACATCATATCATCATAACTAAAGTAGTTTGCATGGAGGAAAAGCTCTGGAACTATAGGGGTTCAGTCAAACTCAAAGTCAAAAAGGAGTGGAGAATGCGTTTATGTTTGTGCTAGAGCTGGAGATCCTGGCTTCCTGGTAGATAAAATCAGGAACCCTAATATTGATGTCTTCAGGCTTTAAAACTGGCATTCTTATGCATAACTTTGTGGTGTTCATCTTTGATGCTTGGCTATTTCCTCCCCTTAAGTATCCTGGCATGTCTAATACCAATTGAGAAAATAGGCTTCAAACAAACAAAATAGTTTGCCTCTTGAAATTAAACATTCCTAAAAAATACGAACTCTTAAAACCAAAGCATAAGCAAATCATAGAAGCTTGAGAGCTTGAGAGAGGGAATCACCTCCACTTCCTCCTGTTTTGCTCTTTTTTTTCTTTTTTCCAAAGAATAGCTTGCCCAACAAAGAAACCTATAATAGAATTCTGTGTTCCCTCCCTTTCTCCTTCATCTCATGATAGGCTCTTACATAATGGATTTACATTAGAAATAGACACAGAAGAGCAGCCTAGAAGTCTGATAGGTTTTCTTTGACATGACCAACTTTTAGATCATTACATGAAAGATACAAGTTAAGTGTTTTGGAAATGAGTTAAAAGCATATCTTAGTCTCAAGTAAAACATATAGGAGTAGTTTTCATGACAGACACTTGGCAGCTTGCAATTCTTATGTCGATATAATTTAAAGTACTTTCTGATTTTCTGCCAAAACCTTATTTTTATAGTTCAGTTGCATATATATAAAGCAATATGGTATCACCTAACCTTAAAAAAGAAATATGATTTCCTTTGGTTAATTAAAATACTGTTTGTAAAAAAAAAATACTGTTTGTCCCCTTTCTATTGAAATTAAACTTTATTAGTTAAGAATTGTCGTCTTAGCAATACAAACATTATAATAACTTTGGCTTCAATAGTATGTAACATATTCAAAACTAGTTTACATGGTATTCAGAAAAAGCTCTTCTTATTCAAATAGTCCGTTTTACAGGAGAATATTCCAGCATGATTTTTATTTATGGTGCTTAGTTTCTTTTTTTAGTTCTCGAAATAGAAATACCTGAAAATATCTCCTACAACTGATTGAATGATATTAATTTAAAAAAATTTTTTACAAGAACATCTCTTACATAATTCTTATAATAAAAAGAATCCAGGAGATATGATTTATTAGCCTTTTAAAGATTAGAAGGTAAAAGCCCAAAACCTTTTTTTTTAGAATTTGGTTTAGCCATTTGTGGTTAGCTGTCATGTGGGTACAAAATAAAATATTTAGCTGGACCAGAGATGTTCATTCAAGCAGCATATAACTGAATTCATTCAAAAACAAGCATTTTGTGGATTGAAGATCACAATCTACCAATAGTATAAACTCTGAGTAAACAAATGGAGTCACTCTACATGGTATCAATATTTTGGAAGGCCAAACATTTGAGAGTAACATATATAACATTCCAGGTTGTTATAATACAACTTTTCAAATTAAGTAAATTCCTTTCTCCTGGCATCTTAAACAGTGTTATTTAGTGTGTTCATATATAAAGTTAATTCAGAAATTAACATGTAGATTGCTTACGTTCTTATATTAAATTTGTATGCCTAAACCTTGTCAAGTATTTTCTTGATTTTGGTGGCATTTTGTGTTAACAGAAACACATGGGGTTTTAAAAAATAGTGAAAGTGGTTTTCCCCCTAATATTTACTGATATTCTTTGGGAAATGCCAGAGTTCAGAGTTTGTGTCGACAGAGGTGCAGATTAAAACCTAAACTGTAAATTGTATGTCAGACTGTTTATGTCAGGAGATAGCTGGAGGTGATGGCCTAATTGTTATAGCTAACTTTTCATCTCAGTAGATTATGTTCTTCTTACATAAATTGAATATATGCTTTTTATTTTTATTTTTTTAAGATTTTATTTATTGATTCATGAGAGACAGAGAGAGACAGAGACAGACAGAGAGAGAGAGAGAGAGAGAGAGAGAGAGAGAGAGGCAGAGACACAGGCAGAGGGAGAAGCAGGCTCCATGCAGGGAGTCTGACATGAGACTCGATCCCGGGTCTCCAGGATCACGCCCTGGGCTGAAGGCGGCACTAAACCGCTCAGCCACCTGGGCTGCCCAAGATGTTCCTTTTAAAATGCGATCAAGGCATGTGCTTTTAGCTTTTCCATACGAAGGGTTCTAAACCATACTATCTCTTGCCTTTTGTCTTGAGGACCCTACGCTATGTGGCTAAGAAAGAGTTGATTAACAATTAGGAGCATGGTCCAAGGCCACAGATTATTGCAGACTTTTAGGGAAGATCACATGGGGGCAGTGGGAGGTGAAATAAAGCAGTTTTTAGGGTGGGGATTTAACTGTGCCCCCATAAATACTATCACACCTATAGAGACACAATTTCTCCACTTGTCAAGAGTATGTGATGTTGCTCCAGCCACCATGGCTAGACCCGGCAGTATGAAAAACTTCCTCCTGCCCTGTTTGTGGAGCTCATCAAATGCTCTTCACGAGAGTTTTTCCACTGCATTCTCTG